ATTTGGATTCTTGTACTTCAGGTCTGGCGTAAATGTAAGATGCGCATCTTCACTGTGGCTCAAATGGACGATAACAGCATTCAGATGAAGAAGGACCTGGCAACCTTCCTGTACCAGCTCAGATTAGAAGCAGAGGTGGAAGTGGTTGAGATGGTATACAGAACACTTTCGCTTTACTATTAACACTTCACATCCCACCCGTGACATTAAGTATGTATGCCATCATAATTTCATGATGTCAAATGTTGTTATTTGCAGCACAACAGTGATATCTCAGCATATACGTATGAGCGGACACTGATGATGGAGCAGAGGTCACAGATGCTAAAACAAATTAGGCTCTCTAGTGCAGAGAGAGACAGAGAGGTACAGCAATATTCACTTGTGAAATGTCTCTTCTGTACTTACACTGTAGCTTACCAACAGCAAAATAATACAGAAATCATTAAAATATTATATGACAATGACAAACAATACACCCTGAAGTGGTTACTTAAATGTTACACAAATGATTTAAGTATTTTCATATAATTGTATCTACCGAAATGTAGTCATTGCATCGTGTGTGCAAAAATTTTCAAACTGCATACTAATATTGTGCATAAAAATTAGCACAAGTGCTTTCCATTTCAGTTGAAATAATCTCATTTTGTCAGCATGTCACAAAATGCATTTTGTGAACTAAATATGTCAAAGATTTAAAAAAAGCATAAAAGCAAAGTAAAAAGCAAAAAACAAAAAAGGCCTCCAAGTATTTTAAAGGATTTTTTTTCTGTAAGGATATTGTGTGCAGGCTTTTATGCTTTTGTGACAACACTTGTTATGTGTGAAGTAAATATGCAAGTATTTTGTCATCCAGACAACTTGTTTTATGTACAAAATTCTTATTAAATTTATGAAATGCATTTCATTATCAAAACAACCCATTTTGTGGACAAAAAAAAATATCTGCAGACAAATGAAATATTCACAAAATTAATATTTCATTCACAAAATGCATTTTGTGGTTTAGACTTTTCCACACAAAATGGGATGACTTTACATTATACATTATATAAACAACATGAAATTGCTTTTTGTCTTTCTGTGTACAAAATGCATAAAAGTGTACAAGATTTCTTTATGAAATACGGTATTTCATGTTACAAAATTAGGGGAGTCATACCTGATGCTCCATGCTAGCGTCACATGTAATGTCTTGTTGACTGTAAAAGTTAAATACCTGCAGTAGCAGTTCTCTTAAGTGTGGTCCCATTACTCTTGACTGTAGGCCCAGCTAGTGAAGGACAGACACTCGCTGATAAGAATGGGCAGTCTATACTCAGATGAAGAAGAGGAAACCATTAGAGTATTACCAGAGAAAAACCAGATGACCTGGACTAGTGAAAAAATAGAAGCGGAAAGACGAAACCGAAGCAACGCACCAGAAAACTTCAGAGAACTAATCAGCATTAAACCGTGAGTACTAGGCAAGCAGGAACAAGAACTGGAATGCCACCACTGCACACTATCAACACAGTATTTGGTACAAAGTAGTAGGTTTTACTTTTTTATCTTTATGTATGTTGCCAGTTAACAAAATAAATCAATTGACACACAATCAAGTTTTTTAGATTTGCTCATTTATTTTGGTATTTTAACTCAATCCGCTGTTTAGATTTTCGTGGTTGTGATCTTGAGCGATTTTTAATCAATGGTTCAACAAATAACAGGTGATAATTCAATATCACTCAATTTACATCAAATATGATACTCAGATTCACCACACGGGGTCACTATAACTGTGCTTAAACTCCAAACGGAGGTTTCACAGGAATAATCAAAAAGTAAATACAGAAAACTTAAATAAAGTGTCAATTCTTCCGAATGTACAATTATTTCTAATGTTAGGGTGAAACAATACTCTTTAGGATCACACAAACACGGTAGTAGTCTCTGTATGCACTCTTACCGCGTCATCATTAGCAGCCGCTCTCTTAAAGGGGCAGTACACTCTTTGTGTGCCCCACACTCTAAAGCCGGCTCACACTGCGATTTTGGCCACGATTTGGTCGTCTGAGACAAATTTTGAAAATCCTAAAAGATTCCTATAATCCTAGGCTAAAGTCTGTAGTCTTTGATTGTTAGTTTGACATGTTCACCGACAGCCGATTAATGGCCGTTGCGATCAAATTTGACCTCCGACTAACTTCTGGCAGTGTCAGAAGATTTGGTGCAGTCCTGCAGTGTGACTTCTCCTACGACGAACGTCGTCTTCGTTTTTCAAGACAAGCCATGATCAGAATTAATGCTAGAGATTTCTTCTAACCGCATAAACTCCGACGCTCTCGTCCTCCGCTCACGGAATTCATCTGATTCGTTGCCTTTGCTATGATAAACACCGGTTGCGCTGCTGTTTTCATGTGGATGTGTAGTGCTGCTTGCACTATTCTGCATAAATACGCCGGTATTGCCGCCATTCATATACTTTTAATGATAGCCAACATTACAGCCCCGTGTGCAATGCAGCTCGCAGTCACTGAACGTGTATGGGTTGATAAGGTAAAACTTCGGACAAGTTTCTTGCGGGCACCTGTTTTTAACGCGTCTTGACTGTCATACAGTCTGACATTAATGACAACTGAGATCCCACAGTGTGACATGATCATCATGTTCGTACAGTCTGACAAGTACAATCCTAAAGGACTTTTAAAAAATCGCAGTGTGAGCCCGGCTTAATACCACCTGGTTACATATAATAGGCCTATTTGTTTTTTTTATGGCTAGCATAAAGAGGAGAGGATCACTGGTGTCTGTGCCTTGTTGTATTTGCCTTTTTACAGAAGTAAACTATGTGGGTGTGCATGCTTGTGTAATTTCAGTGTGTTATTATCTATAGTCTTCAAAGGTCCTAGTTTATTTTATTTATTTATTAAATTCCACACATTGTATTATTCCACCTTAGTTTAAATCAAAACTCTCTTTGTGTGTGTGTTACAGTGACCAATCTAATGTTCGGCGGATGCACACAGCTGTGAAGCTGAATGAGGTTATTGTAAATAGATCCCATGATGCCAGACTGGTGCTGCTGAACATGCCAGGACCTCCACGCAACCCAGAGGGAGATGAAAACTGTATCCTTCCCAAAGAATTATATACTTTAAGTACTGTATTAAAGCACTATTTTACTGGTGTGCTTAGTTTCTAGTGAGATATAGATAAATCCAACATGAAAATATGCTCTGTTTGGTATGGTATAAATGTATTGCTACTTCTCATGCTGTTTCGTTAACTCCGATTTCAGATATGGAATTTCTTGAGGTGTTAACTGAAGGTCTAGAGAGAGTGCTGCTTGTGAGAGGTGGAGGTCGTGAGGTCATCACCATCTATTCCTGAATGGCCAAAGATCAATACATAGACCACTGTTACTGTATCTAATGCAAGTCAAAAAAGTGGCATATAAAGAATATGCATTCTGAACATCTTATGCCAGCCTAAACATATCATAGTTCATGAAAAGGAGTTTTACACTAAAGTGTAATTCATTCATTTTACAATTCATTTCACTTTAAATATTTTAGTGGCATGTTTGGGCTAAGTTGTGTACCTTTTCAACTGAACCCATTCCACATTCACACCATAACATTCAGAATCACTTTGGAATGTAGGCCATGTTTGCTGCACAAAATAACAGATGATTCCAGCAACAACATTGCTTACGTATGACATTAAGTAGACAATCCCACTTTAAAGCATTTGAGGTTTTGCTAACATTGATGAGTTTAAATCGCTGATGTAGCAACATACACTTTCAAGCATGCTAACAGTTCATTACAAAATATTGTGGCTTGGGTCAGAGCCAAGAAAAATATTTCACAACAGTTAACAGTAGCTCATTTAGAAGAGAAATATTCCATTTCCTTTTAATATAAACAAATGACATGCAAAACATTATTGTGTACAGGGTGACTAATATAAAAAACGAGCACATGTGATTATCTTGACTTTCACTGCCCAAGTAACAGATCTAGTGCTTCCTGATATAAGACTGCCATTCAGAATGCAAGTGCTAAATTTAAATTGCCATTTGAGTGCTTGCATTTTTTATTTATTTTGTCTTCATTATTTATTTGTAAAACTCCCCACTGTATTAGAAAATAACCAAAGGAGCTGAAATGGGATGGGTAGATTTTGTAATTTATAACTGCATTGTATAACTTTTATGAGATTGATTCTTTATAAATTAACCATTCATTTTCAACATACTGCATTTTAGTACACAACTCACATTGAGAATGAGACATTTTGGATACTGATAGTCTTTATTCTTTTTTTAGGGCATGATTACTGTACAGACATTTGTTACATACATTTGTTATACAAATAGAAGAAAATATGGAAAACTATTGACTAACAACATTTATATCTGGTATATAAAGGTGATGATCTGTTACTGGTTGTATAGTGTTAAATCTGTACAGTGTTTCATGTCAAAGAGAAAGATTAAACACTTATTGAAATATGCAGTTGACTTATGTATAGTATTAAGAAAAATCTATTTTAAAACAAAGAATATGAAAAAAGTTACAATAAAGTGCACTATGAACTACAGAACATGCTACATGTATTATATGATCTTACTTTTGCCTCGGAGAAGACAACCTCTAACTGCACACCTCGTGGATTAACAAAAAAGAAGCTAGAAAAAACAGGTGGAATTGCATTGTTAAGTTGATGAGTATTTTTTCCTTCTATAATAAATGAATACAGTATTATCGAAAGACTGTCATCTGCAGATAAATGTAAGTATACACTGTGACTCTCTGGTGCTTCCAAAAGATTAATCTTTACATTTGAGCAGCTCAACAGAGTTTGAGGTAGGACTACTTGTTAGTCCAAGCGGTAAGCATGGTGGAAGAGGTGATAGGAGTGTTTGGAAAGAAATAATTTAATAATACATTCATTCATTTCAACATATATTAAATGAATGAAATGCATAATACAATATTTTTGTATTCAATAAAAATATAACAAATAGTTTTTTTATATCTACCATCTATATTTTTATATCTACTTCTACAAAAGGGAAACACCAGACAGACTGAAAGAAACAGATGCTTCTTACTGATATGTTAAGAAAGTACAAGATAATGCAACAGTGCTGTTTGTTACTTCATTTTGTTACCTCATGTGATCTGTACACTTGCCATACATATTATGAAACAATTCTAAAGTATGGTCTTCATAAACTGTTACCAAACATTAACAGTTTCCAAAATGGTCAAAGACCTAAATGTGTCAGTTTCAGTCAGCGAACGGTCTCCAAATGTACTCCTGGTCTTGAGATTTTAAATCAAGTGTTGGCTAAGCAGTCTGGTAAACATTTAATTTGTATACTGTCTGGCAGTGTTGGGGGTAATATATTACAAGTAACGCAAGTTACGTAATCAGATTACTTTTTTCAAGTAACTAGTAAAGTAACGCATTACTTTTTAATTTACAAGAGAATATCTGAGTTACTTTTTCAAATAAGTTACTTTTTTTTTTTTTTTTGACAGCTCTCCTGTCCCCATGTTGAGAGAAATCAGAAGATGTTACTGTAGTTCTAAAATAAATATGAATATGCATTAATTCATCTCACTCACAAAAAAAAACACAGATTCAGTATTCCTCAAAATGAATAAAAATAATGCAACTCAGAATATGACGCAAACCTGCAATAATTAAATAAACAACACAAATATCCTTTATGTATTTATTCCCATTCTAATAACCAATGTCTTTGCTTCTGACCTGAAATTTCTTCTTCTGCATTCTACTGTACGGACGGAAATTTACTTTCCCTTCAGCCTGAGGCTTATTCATTTCACTTTTGGTGTGAAAAGGCTTTTATATTTGCCAAAAATATAACTTTTTTATTTTAAAAACAAACAAGCAAGCCCTGTCCAGATTTAAAAAGTAGTGCAAAAGTAACGTAACGCATTACTTTCCATAAAAAAGTAACTAAGTAACGTAATTAGTTACTTTTTTTATGGAGTAATGCAATATTGTAATGCATTACCTTTAAAAGTAACTTTCCCCAACACTGGTCTCTGGTTGATTCATTGTTTGTTAGATTACTTTAACTGGATCAAAAATAAGATGAAGCAGATCAAAGCTTTCACAGGCGTTAATGGAGCGTTTCCATTTCGATGGCTGCTTGGATGGACCAGCATCGCACGACAGCTCTTGTTTACTTCCAAAAGTGAGATTTCAGCTTCACTGGGTAAATTGTGCAGCATATCATCACGTACCTTAACATATGGAGAGAGAGAAATATTTAACATATATCCAAATGTGCTCTGACCACACTGAGGGAAATACTTCTAATATATACAAACTATAAGAATATGTGACACTTTTTCAGTACACACATCCTTAAAGTGAATTAAATCATTGTTGATTTAAAAACAAATGTTTTGAAATTACATATATAAATATATAAAAGACACCAATTTAGAACTAAAACCAAAATAGGCCAGAAGACAGGGTTTTCCGTGGAAGTGATACATAAGGCTGATAGAGACAACGGGGTTTAAAAATATTTCTTGCATTGGTTGTGGTCCAAACTGAGCGCAGCTACAGTTTGATAAAATCTCATCAGATTAAATGTGCTGAACCAGTCCAATGACATTTGGATAAGGAGGAATCTTATCATACATTATCAAGAACAGGATGGTAAGGTGCCATATATATGTATACTATATGTATATCAGGGCTGCTAACTCATTTCAGCTTGGAGTAAGAAATCCTGTGGGGGGGGATTCTTAAAAAAAAAACACAAAACCTGTCAGCAGAGTTTTGTCTGACAGTGCTACTTTGTCTGAGGACTGGTACTGTTTGTATCATAAAAATGGCAAAATAACTGCTGCAATGGTGCAAACAAATAAACTTTGCTAATATTAGCTTATTTCTATGTAGGATACAGAATATATTAGTTACTAACCTAAACTCAGTTAAGACACAGAGCGTAATCGTAACTCACTGACCTGCCTGCGTTCACACAATATTCAGCATGCATGGAAATAAATTACAATTAAGTTATATATTTCCCCCCGATTGGTCTGAATAACTCCCTGTCTCACAGTGCTGCCTACTCTCTCTCACCAGTGAGCACACTGTCAGTGTTCTCTTTACGCCCAATGTTTTTGAAAGTGTGGCGTGAGAACAGTGCCAAATGCGTGAGAGTTGGCAGCCCTGATGTAACAGATACACTTTCTCTGGTCTGTTTGGAGATTTGAGACGTAAGGTAGAGGTGCTTTTTGAAGTGGATGTTGCAATAACAACTGTAATTTAAAAGAAGAGGGTTAGCTGAGGGTGGAAGATAGTGGCTGTAATGTGATCAGATAAATTAATGGGGATCACTGAGAGCAAAGAGCAAAAAAATTTTTTCAGAGGAAAATGAAAGGAACTGGAAGGAATTTCCATCTGGCTGTAAAGATCACCATTGTAGTACAAGAAAGGAAGAAGCTGAGGAACAAGATAATGTAAGAATGTGTGTGAGAAAGTTCAGACAACATTTCAGCTGGGATGTTTTATGGAGTTATCCAATGCCAAAAACAAAGAATAGTCAAAGAGATGACCTTTACAGAGTTAAAAGCTTTGGGATATTTACAGAAAACCAAAATGAGATTCACAGGTGCTGACTGTGAGCAAAGTGACCAGTGGTCAGTGGTTGAAACCTGTCATATCATGTACGTCAAGTATATGTTTGCTATGTTATGTTTACTAATGTCAATTGCAAGGGTGGGTGTATATTTATACTGGCCCTAAAGAGGCCAAGATTTATACATATCTTAACTGACCTCATTGAACTGGGAACTGGACACAAGAATGAATTTCCTGACCTTCTCAACCTTTCGGAACACTCTGAGGAAGTTCAGTCTTAGCACTCCCGCCAGTTCTTCCTCAGTCCAGTTCCTTGATATCAGCTCCTCAATTAGTGCTGGATATTTGGATACGTCCTCCAGGCCTTTAGGGAATCTGTAATAATACAGGCACGCATAAACACTTGCACACAGACATACAGATAAGGGCCACAGGCATAATCTGCATGCTTTTCTTTGTGGTTCTTGGGGATATTAATTTTTCTGAATGGATTTAAATATTGTAAAATGTGTTAACTGGTGCTGAGAGCACTACAATGTTATTGATAGCTAAAAAAATTGATATGTACAATTTTGTGTTTAAATTCGGCAGAAATCTACAAAGTTTTCTGCAGAATTCTGCAAGCATGGATTCCGGGGAGGTACGTTAAACAAATAAACAGAGCAAAGAAGTGTGTAAACAAAAATTCTGTAAAGTCAATACAGATGAGATGTAGATGAGATGTTAACTTACCCTTGTGCCCCATCAAAGTCTGCTCCAATCCCGATGTTTTCAGCTCCAATCACCTGCTTTAGATGATCAAAATGATCTAAAAAACATATATTTCAAATTAAAACCAAAATAAATTAAAACAAAAAAAGAAATCTAGTGTCTTACCAGCCACAACAGACACGTTTGCGTTATTTGAACATGCTACAAAACTGCTGTAGAAGTTCACCATGATAAGCCCGCCATTTTCTTTCTAGAAAGAAAGCAAAGTTTGTTCTTTTCAGTAAATAAAGTTTTTTATTGTCAAAACACGGGTGAAAAGTGTCATTTCCATTACTGTCTTTCCAGTAAAACTGGCATTTTGGAGATTTTTTTTTTTTGGGGAACTACGTCTAATGCAGCAAAACGAGGTCTCACCAGCAGCAGCAGCTGCTCGTCAGGTACGTTGCGAATATTGTTACAGATAGCATAGGCTGAAGAGTGGCTGAAAATAACCGGAGCAGTAGAATGTTTCAGCACAGCTCTGGTTGTCTCCCATGAGCTATGGGATAGATCAACCAGCATTCCCAACCTGTTCATCTCATTCACCACTGCCTGGGGAGAGACGGTTAGAGAATGATTAAATTCATTAATTACCAGTGTAAAGCAGTTAGTTCTGATCCACTTAGCTCAATTCAACATATCAAGGTAGGTAGGGTAAATTTGTAGAACTTACACTTACACTTTTGTGCACAATATTGTAATGATATGTGACCCTGGAGCACAAAACCAGTCTCAAGTCGCTGGGGTATATTTGTAATAGCCAAAAATACATTGTATGGGTCAAAATTATTGATTTTCATTTTTATGCCAAAAATCATTAGGATATTAAGTAAAGATCATGTTCCATGAAGATATTTTGTAAATGTCCTACTGTAGATATATCAAAACTTAATTTTTGATTAGTAATATGCATTGCTAAGAACTTCATTTGGACAACTTTAAAGGCGATTTTCTCAATATTTTTATTTTTTTGCACAGTCAAGATTCCAGATTTTCAAATAGTTGTATCTCGGCCAAATATTGTCCTATCCCCAATTAAAAATTGACCCTTATGACATTTTGTGGTCCAGGGTCACATATATGTTGGATAGATGTCTTTTATATGTTATGGGTACAAATTTGTCAGCAATTTTAACACACGTATGCTCCAGATTTTTTTTCTCAAAGGTAATGATGATCTACTGTGCAAACAGGATATACAAATCACCATCTTGAATATTTTAGTAACTCCGGGATCAAAGCCATTTTTAAGCAAAAAAAAAAAACTGTCTTTGAACATTCAGCATTTTTTGTCTCTAGACTTTGGGTTCAAAAAGGGGACACACGACAGGGATTTCCAAATATAGAAGAGAACGAAAGAGGCCTTTAATACCAGGTCAAATTCCCCACTAAATACAAGTGTAACTTTGGTTCAACTATCTTGAATTGAACTTTATCTTCTTACATGATCTTAATCCACGTCTTTTTTACATTTTTTATTGACCACTGATTCATCAAGAAAAACTTACCTTGCCAAAATCTGTCAGGCTGTTATTCTTCTGCTGGTAATAAGTGTAATAACTTGATGAGCTCTCAGCCCTACACATGACATTATTGGAGCAAGTTGGATAAATTAACTATATGAAATGGACCAATAACAATTCAGGGACAGTATGCAGTATAAATTGTATTTGTGCTCCTCTCTCAATTCAGTATTAAAACTTGTTTGTTTAAATGCACAGATTATTATTATTAGCTTATGCTGTACATGTATGGTGAGTATTTACCATGGGGTGTTGCAGTTGTGTGTGAGGGCCATGGATCTTACTCCAAGCTGGTAGAACATGCGTAGTGCTGCTAAACTGCTGTCGATGGAGTGGCCTCCCTCTATACTGATTAGACATGCGATTTTTGTACTAGTCCTCATTCCTTAAACACACACAAATGTTTTGTTTATTAATAGTTTAAAGACACAAATATATAAAACGATGTGTAGTCCTTTTTCCCTCTTCTCTCCACAACAGTAATAATCTGAGCACAATGGACATTAGTGCCTTTATATCTCCCTGTAAAATGAAGTGAACAGTCAGTGTGCAATGATCATGGCTGAGTACAACTGTAGCTGTTTCTAAGCCAGGCGCTTGTCATTTGGCTGAAACTACCTGACATTGTTCAATCTCCAAAAAAAAAACACATCTAATATCATGTTTAGTCTTAGGTCTTTCTACATTATATTACACAACATCAATACCAGGTACTACCCTTATTTCACAAAGAACTCTTACAGAAACTTCTATAAACTACTGTTCAAACGTTTGGGGTCAGTAAGTTTTTGTTTTGTTTTTTTAATTCAGCTAGCATTCAGTGACATTCATCATGCACTAAACCGATCATAAGTAATAGTTTCTAATAAACATCTATTAATTTAAAACAATTTCCAATATACACTGTTCTTTTGAACTTTCTATTCATCAAAGAATCCTGAAAACAACGTATCATGGTTTTCACAAAAATATTAAGCAGCACAACTGTTTTCAACATTGATAATAACAAGAAATGCTACATTTTGTTACATTTTATGCAACACGACATGTTCCATTTTAAAATATATTAAAATAGAAAACAGTTGTTTAAATTGCCATAATATTTAACAATACTACTGTTTTACTTATTTTGATCAAATAAATGCAGCCTTGCTGAGCATAAAGAGACTTACTTTCAAAAACATTAAAATATCAACCCCAAACTTTTGGACGGTAGTGTATGTGATATGTGAAATGCAGTCTAGATGTTTGACAGTGTTACGTATGGAAAGTAAAATATCAACCCCAAACTTTTGGACGGTAGTGTATGTGATATGTGTTTGACAGTGTTACGTATGGAAAGCATTGGTCCAATCATGTTGAGTGAGATATCCTCAGGCAGGTAGTTGTGAGATTGCATAGTCTCTTCTCCTTTCACTTACACAACAAGTGTAGGCAAGAATCTTGTTCATTTGGAATTTACTGGAGATAATTTACAACTTCCTCTCCGGATATGGACTTCCGAAGGAACTTTCATGCCATTAAGATTTTTATTTTCAAACTTTCCCTGAAGAGACAAAGTTTTATCATCAATTACTCACCCTCATGAGATTCTAAACCTGCATGACTCTTTGGTGGAACATGAAAATAGATATTCTGAAGAATGTTGGCAACCAAACAGTTTTGGTGACCATTTTGACTTGCAATGTACGGTAAAAAAAAAAAAAACATTTCTCCAAATACCATTTATATTCAACAGAAGAAAGAAGTCATGATAAATGATGATAGAATTTTTATTTTTGTGTTTTGTAACACTCCAAAGAGAAAGGAACAATTGAAATCGCATCATATGACCCCTTTAATATAAAGGTTTTAGTGCCGTCCATCGCTATTGCGCAAAGAACGCTCTGATTATAATCACTAAAAGCTGTCATGCATCTTAGTTTATCGCGATCTCACAAAGTTATGTTATAATCAATGAAGGTCTCTATGTTGCACAATGAATCTCTTATTTACACTGCGCCTACACTTTGTTATAATGAGAAGATTCGTACTGAACACAACACCTGCAAAAACTCCGGCGATTTGAGCAGTGAGTGGATTCTTAAAAGCCTCTGATTGACTGTTGTGTACAAGAAATAAACAGATATGTCTGTGACTGGCTATTACTCAACGCTGCAAAACACATTGAAATAGAAACCGATCTTGCACAAACCATAACGCACTGGATAGTTTGCCAAATCTGCAATGAAATGCCATTATTACAGCTTTAACTGAGGGTGCTATTGATTTCCTTTGAGCACCCCCGTAGAACCGGGCCTGCTTCAAAATATTCAGTCACAGCAAAGTGAAATGACTTGGTCTGGTGGAGGTTTCTGGTGCAATAGTACCTTCAGCTGTGGTGACCAGTTCCAACTCTGTGTTTTCAGTACACATACGATGAATTACATCAATCTGTTCCAAGGTCAGTCTGACAGCATCTTTGTCCTGAGCTGTGCACAACACGTACGCCGCAAAAACCTAACAAATATCAAGGACTTATTTATCTCTAATCATGCACAAAATAACCAAAACAGCAAACTGGCCACTCACTTGTGGGTCCAAAATGTCTAAGAAAGATGACAATTTTTGGCAGAAATGAGCAGTTTCAGTGAAATTCAGTGACATATTCAAGAAATTATTAGAAGAGGAAAGTGGACTTTAAGATAATGGTTAAAGATAATCATATATTGCTCATGAAACCGCACAATATTAGCTGTGTGCGAATTTGGGGCAGAACAAGCTTGTTCTTCAGGCCCAGCACTTTATCTACACGATATACAGTATACACAAATAGGTTTGTGACTTCATTTTTACAAATGGTTAAAGATTCAGATTATACTCAAGATCAGCCAGGAGAAATTACCTGTCCTCCAACATGGCCAGCAGTGAGGCGACTAATATCTGTAGCCACCCTAGGATTGTGGTGCATATTGAAAGTGCTCAGTTTGTTATTATGATGCATTCTCAGACGTAATGCCAGGTCATTGTGTCTGAGTAAAGAGAAAGAGAAGCAGTGTGAAATTTTAAACCATTTTTATTGCAGTTGGTGCAACTACAACCTTCTCTGAAGCCATTTACTGTCAGTATTCTCAGCTATATAATATTATAAACCAGTTATGTTTAAAGCAGATTACAAATAAAAATGAATGATGTGTAAATGAATTAAAGTGAATAGTAAGTCATACCCATCAATCAGTGGATATTTTGTCATTATATCCAGTGCTCTACTGGTTTCGGATATTACTCCATGAAGAAGTGAGAGAAGGGTGCATACGAACCACCGTATCCATGCACCTCTGATGCCTGCTTTTTTATATATTAACATCCTATGATGCTGATAAAAAAAAGTCAAAGGATTTGCTCTAATAAAAAATAGTCAGAAATTGGAAGCAACTGGCCAAACTGTACTATATATATATATATATATATACTACATCAGATTTCACTATGAACTATAAAGAAATTAAGAAATCAAGAGATATTTCATATAAATCTTTATGACAAGACTAGTTCAAGAACTAGTTCTGACTAGTTCAATAACTGAGAAGCTGATTTTAAATTCAAGAAAGAAATGAAATGGATGAAGGGGAGACCCAGGCTATTCGTCAAATAGAGAGGTTGTCACAATATTTTAGAGCCTAATATATTTTTTTTTAATTTAAAGGTTGTTTTCGCTAGCATCGGTTATATATGGTCGTTTCAAAAGTGCCCTTTATTTGTTTCCATTATTTTAAATACAGGATATATCCTGTATCGTGGCAACAGCATATAGTCAGCAAAACCCACAGGCCACGTTTCTATTATTATTATTAATTTCATACACTTCACAGATGTAAGTGTATCTGTATCTTTTGCCAAAAACGTCGACCTGTGGTATCTTTTTAATGTTTTACTAACATGAAAATGTTATTGAGCATACAGCTTAAACACACTATTTTATCTATCAAGCAAATGTAGTGTGAACACGCCTCGCTATGAGCGCATTTAATTAACTATATTTTATTTCTTGGACTAAAGATGTTCAACATGTATGTAATATGTGACCCTGGACAACAAAACCAGTCATAAGGGTCAATTTTTAAATTGAGATTTATACGTCATACGAAAGCTGAATAAATAAGCTTTCCATTGATGTATGGTTTATTAGGACAATATTTGGCCGAGATACAGCTGTTTGAAAATCTGGAATCTGAGGGTGCAAAAACAAAAAATCGAAATACTGAGAAAATCGCCTTTAAAATTGTCCAAATGAAGTTCTTAGCAATGCAAATTACTAATCAAAAATTAAGTTTTGATATATTTACGGTAGGAAATTTACAAAATATCTTAATGGAACATGATCTTTACTGAAAACCGATCATTTTGACCCATACAATTATATTTTGGCTATTGCTAAAAATATACCCAAGCAATTTAAGACTGGTGTTGTGGTCCAGGGTCACATATATACGTGTACGTATGTCTTACCTAACTGTATATCTAACTGTCTAAACACCGGGAGAGAAAAAGTAGTGAATAACAAAGTGTTAGAAATCCGGATCTCCCCTACTCCGTTATGTCAAATAGTATCATAGAATACACAGTATAGCCTATTATAAATAGACTACCATTATTACTCACCGCGTCAGGAGGCTTGCTCTAAAGTTGGCTACTCATGAACGTGAAGAGATGTTTATGCTGTGTGGAGTAATCTGTTATTCTGTGCGGAATTTGCCCGTGTGTTGTTCTACAGAGTATGTCTCGGTTTAAAACGTTTGGTGCTTTGCCCTTCGGAGAAGTGTCGCCCTCTTCCGCGTGGTCTTCGTAGGCACATAAACACTGACATGAACTGTACCCTAATTGGAAGCACATGTGAAAAACACTGGCCTTCGGAAAAACAAATGTTCTGTCTGACTTTGTCACACGCTTTAACATGTTAGATAAATGAATTGGTTTCATATACATATAATGTAAAAAAAAATGTCAAAGATTCAAAAGTTGTCATGTCCTCAGAAAACACAATGTATGATGAGTCAAAAGTTATACAATAATTCAAAAAATGAGCTTAAAAGTAAAAAAAAAAAAAAAAAAAAAAAAAAGCTCAAAA